GGAAAGAAAGATGTGATTTGAGTGCTCAATAAATCAGGCTTGTCTGCACATATTTAAAATAAATGAGTTGGGTTCATTTTTTTCCAGAGACATCTGTCTAGTGCCATTTTAGACAACCTACATGGTCTCCTGTGGCTTCATTAGAAGGTCATGGCTCTTCCAAATCTCCAGTGTCACTGCCTGCTGGTTCTGTGCAGGTTCTTCTGATGGCATTGGGTGTTATATTTAACCAGCTGAGCCTCAACAACAAAAAAAGGTCTGTAAGCAATGCTAAAGACACACAAATTTTGTAGAATAAGTGTCTTAGTTCCCCTGGGGCACTGAGTCCACAGCAGTGAGCTGCAGCATCAGTCTCTGAAGGCAGTCACTGAGTCAAAAGGGCCAAGTGTAGAGCTTGATGCTCATAAACTGAGCTGTTGTGTCATTTATGGACAGGAGGAGGTCAAGATTCAGGCAGCTCACCCTCAACTCATGTTGATCAACTGCTCCTAGCACTTGTGACAACATTTTGCAGCCAGTTCTATGCTGTGAGGAGATGTTGAAGGGCCTAAAATAGGTTCTGCTCGTCTTCAACGTGCCCTCCACCATAAAAAGTTGCTGAGTCTACATGTGCTATGTACACTCCCAAAGAGCTACTTTACTTCAGAAATGGTTTGCTAAAGGTGGCAAATGCAAGTGCTGTAGGTTTTAAATGGAAACACTCAGTGGAATCCACTGTTGAAGAGCTTAGGGAACGTTCCTGAAGGGGGTTAACCAAAAATGAGAGAGCCTGATGCAAAGGAACCAAGAAACATACACTTCTCTTCTCCTTCCAACCATCACACAGTCTTTATTAAGCAGAATATTAACTCTGAACAGCATTTATCTCCTAATATTATTTTTTTTTTAATTCTGAGCACGCCAGATATAGTCCATTCCACCTTCTGTCTGACTTTTTGCTGCTGGCTAATGCAGTATTTATTGCAAACTGGGAAAAGAAAAAAATGATGGGATACTCCTCTGGCTTCAGAGTAAGGCATCCAAAATAAATCTGAGGAAGATGACCTTAATTCAGCAAAGTGCTTCAGCTTTAAGCATGCAAGTAGCCAATGAATCACATGCTTAAAGTAAGACTCATGTATGTGCTTCTTGGAGAATTAGGCATCAAGGACATCTATGTATATATCAAATGGCAGCAAAAGCCCTGTAAAAAGACAAAACAACCCCCAAAAAAACCCCACAGGAAAGCTTTGGTTCAGAAGCAATTCTTTCTCAGATGTAATCCAGTCCACATAAGGTCTGTTTTGACTCAGTCACTTTATTATTTATTGCTCAGTATCAAAAGGAATCAAACTGACATTGATTAAAGGCCATTGTGAGTCGTAGGTAATATTCAATATCATTCTTTGAAGAGCATGATGCACATTGTAGGGATAAATTGAAATCATAGAAGACTGAAATAGGGGAGGGGGAGTCACAGTATGATGCAATCATGTAAACAACAGCACATATGTAGAGATTAACACAGATTTTCTTTGTCCACTTGACAGGTCTGATCAAAAGTAGCAAATATTTTTCATTCCAACACTTGAGCTGTTTTCTTTGAATGGGTGAACATAGAGAAAAAAACCAATCTCATAAAGCAGAGTGGATTAATATGTCTCTGCTGCTTTTCCTCTTGATCTTTAAGGCTTATCAGAATCCTTTGCCCTCCCACTGAGTGTATTCATTACTTAGGAAAATGAGCTGAACAACTGTTCATTGTTTGAACCTGAAAAAAAATATCCCAGTCTTTTATAAATTGGTGCTATTCCCACAGATGATAGGAGCTCAGATACTTTTGATCAGCCAGGAGGACATTAATAATTGGTACAGACCACAAAGGACCACGTTTCAGCAGTTGACACCCCTGCACCTTCCTCCTCTGCAGTGAAGTGATAGGGGAGAGCTGCAAAATGTTCCTCTGAGAGGTTGAAGCCTGATCTGCTCTGTGAAATTCTCATCCTAGCTGGAGCTGTGCTGGATTTCATAAGGCTTTGAGGAGGATCAATGATTCAAAGAGGGCAACCCAGCTACAGAGACCTGGGCTGTCCAGTCGACTGCCTCAGTGGATGGAAGCAGGACTAGAAGCTTGGGTTCAGAATCACTGTCAACTTTGCAAAGACCTAAAGTGAGCCTGGCAGCGTGTGAATTTCTTCAGGAAATTAGGATTTAGGGCATCAAGTTGGGGTTAATCCCAGCCAAGCCTCAAGCTGGTGGAATATGGCATGAAATCAGCAGGGAGCTTTGGGCTAGGGCTTAATCTCTACGTCATAATACATGCTAAGCTGTTTAAGTGTGTTTGGTGCTATTACACCCAATTAAATCCATGGAAATTAGGTTCCCTGTCTTTAAGCATCATAAGGCCCCTGCTCGACAACAGGATTGGCACTGGCTGACTTGTAGAATTTGGACAAGATCCACAGGTCCCACAGACTGCTTGCTAGATGATATCAAGAGGTTCATATGCCCAAAACATGCTCTTGAAGACGTGGTCCATGCTTATGTGGACAAATCAGAGATGTCTGCACAGTCTCCCTAGGCTGGAGAGGATTTAGGGGGTGCTCACGGTGGTTTCTGCCCAGGAGGAATTGATGGCAGTGTGTTTACTGCTGAATCAGCAATATTTCAGTTGACCAAACAAAGACAATGCCTTTGGTGTGTGAACACAAGGAGAAGACACTCAGTGCCTTTCTGTCACGAGTTCTGGGTTTCAACAATCCACCAGCTTTGCTTCTAGGTGCAGTCTCTCCTTTCCCAGCATCTTCATTCTCCCCGGGGGTGAGTTATCTGGTTTAGTTTCTTATAAATAGGAACAACGTATAAAATCTTTCAAGTGCAATAAACACAGAAAAAATAGAAAACCCCTCAAGCCTCTGGCTCTCTCCCAGCCTCTCACCCCTTTTCTGTAAGACCACCTCAAGGTGGAGGAAACACAGAAGGACGGTTCCCAGCAGGCTTGGGAAGGGGAGGATTTTTTTGTCAGCCATCGCATCCGAGACACGTTGAGAGCTTCTGTTTGTAGACAGAGAAGACAAAGGACACACCAGCTCCCTACTCTTTCCTTTGGGAAGGTCACAGAGGCATGGGAAGCTGCTGACTTCCAGGGCACAGTGCAGTTCTCCACCCGACGTTCCCGTGGTGTCTCTTTCTCAGGAGACTAAACCCCAGGATCAAACGTTTCAACTGCTTGATACTGGGGATGAAACTGTTGAACCACAGCCACGCTTTTACTACAAGCCTTGGACTGTGGTACAAGGACAGTTTGAATGTTTTTTTTTCCCTCCCCCCCCTAAATAATACACACTTCAAACAAGAAAGCAGTCCAACAGTTTTCTAAGACACAAGGACAGGACATGGGTTTAGTCCTTCAGAACAATCTGTCTCCATCAGGGTTGTAGCAGCCACCTTGCACCAGAAATCACCCCAGACTTGGGTTGGTCTGGTTTTATTTTGTCCTTTCCTTACCTTATTCCCAGGATCTCTCATTTCCCTGGTGGTTTCTGACAATATTTCCATCCCAACATTCCACTTCTCTTCTTTCTTAGTGCTGCTGTGGCAATCGAAATGTCTTTTTCTTCTTGTAGTTGCAGTTTTCTCCCTTATTTTCCCTGAACATCTGCGAGACAGCCCATCTGGGTTGACACAGTGTGAGATGAGGCAGACAGGCATTGCCAACAAAGGGCTCCTACTGCAGCAAGGGGCTGTTGAAATCAGATGTTTTCTAAGACATCTATGGGGACAAAGCCTTTCTTCTTCCCGCTGTAGACTTTGATGAAGCCATCGTGCTCCTTTTCAGAAGTCACACAAATCTGAAGGCAAAGAAGGGGTGGAAATAATAAATGCCTGGCTGTGATTAGAGACAAATTATTCCCTGATATTTATCAGGTAGATTTGACAGCCTACTAGTTCCTTCTATAAGTAGAACAATCCCTTTTAGACTCTTACTGCTCTGAGAAGAAACTTAAACATACATTTAGACCTCTACCTTTACCTCACTTCCCTAAAGAGCCACACTCGAGACATTAAAACAATGAAGAACTTTGTTTTGGATACCCAAGTATGTGATCTGAACTCATCTCTGGGAGCATATTTGCATGACAAAAGGATGGTAAAACCATCTAGTCTTTGCAACAGTACAAATATTACATTGTGGTCAAGTTTTGCACTTCTTGAAGACCTTTATTTCCACTTTAGGGCCCTTCCTGAGACACTTCTGGTAATGACTGAGCCATTGGACAGCCTAATGGCACTAAAGCTCTACTTTGGAGCACAAAGCCACAGAAAAGAAAGAATTGTTTTCAAACATCCGTGCAAAAGAATCATGAATTTCTTACTAATCAAACCCAGTTAACAAATACCCACAAATTTCATGGTCTTATTGAGACCAACCCACTGATTTTTCATGATGTCAGCATCCAGGTCTTTAAAGCCCTCTGTCTGGACTAACACCCACAAAACTCTGTCTGATGGGTGCTTAAAGTGTTTAGCTGCAATAATTCAGAGGCTACAAAATGAATAAAAATGGCTCTGGAATGCTCCTGGCCAAATCCACTTCAGCATGGACTATTATGGTGAGATCTCAATGCCATATCTGAAGCCTGGGCCAGCTTGTCCTGTTGTTATACACACTAAATTTGCTAGTGAGACTGATGGTGTCAGAGCAAATTGGAAGGTTTTAAGAAGGAGGTGAAGCTCCTTCATGTTTGCCACCTCCTGTGTTTGGAATTGATCAGGTACATCTCTATATCTCCAGGGAAAGGCTTGGAAATCAAATGGACTCATTAATTATCTTACTTAAGTGACCTATTTAAAACTAACTGCATTGGATCCCTGGGGCAGAATGACTGAGCACACCACCAGAGCTGACATGCAATTAAAAAAAAAAGTAAATTAATGTATTGTTGTGTGGGTTAAATCACATGGAAAGTGTGGGAGAGGTGTGGAATCACAGAATCATTCTCATTGCAAGAGACCTTCAAGATCAAGTCCAACCATTAACCCATCACTGCCAAGCCCACCACTAACCCATGTCCCTCAGCACCACATCTCCAGGGCTTTTAGATCCCTCTAGGGATGGGGACACCACCACAGCCCTGGGCAACCTGGAAAGTCACTTCTCCATTCTTTTTGTTGAAAAAAAAACCCCTCCAAAATACTAAAACCAAACAACTGCTCAGCTCAGAACTGAATTTGTCAGCATCTGCCCTGAGGATTTTTTATATGTCAGCAGATGGGGAGATGAGCAATTAGGAAATGATCCTTTAAGCTGCATAGTCATTAATACTCTCCTGTTTTTCTAAGTCCTGGGCTTTGAATTTGGGCCTGAGTGGCAAATTCTCTGTGTCCAGCAGCAATTTTGAACCTGCTTTAATTTTCTGCAGTTGCCTTTTGCTTATCTTCTCCCTCCCATCCATTTAATCCATCTGTCAGCTACAGACTGCTCCTGATGAAGTAGGAATTTGGTTAGGAGGATAACCCAGTTTTAAAGAGCTGTCCTGAAGCCTGTAGGCAGTGCCAGGTCAAGAGGTCTAAAAGCTCAAGCCTTCTGTTTGTGAGAATGACAGCCCAGGGAATGAAGTTCTTGCTTATATTATTGTGCATGGAAATAATAAACAGTTTGATTTTCATGCCCATTCAGCCACAGTGCAAATGATGCTAACAGATTTTAGATCATCTGCTTCATCAGCTTTTAGACCAAGAACACCAGCTGGTTTTAGCTACATCACTTATGTAGGGTTTTAAAGAGGACTTGGACTCAGCTGGATGCATAAAGAGCTGTGGCCATATTTTGGACACCTATCCCTCTTCAGCAAGACTGATGTCAGGAAAATCAGCTGGAAAAAGACCCTTTTCCCCTTCAACTCAGCTGTGAAGTGCAGGAACTATAGCTGGGGAGGGCATGAAGAACTGCAACATCACTTTCTGCACTGGGTTTGTGTTTTAAGGGTTTTGGTTGGAGTGCAGAAGTCACCATGATGCACCTGATTTTTCAAAGGCAGCTTTTACAAGTTCAGCTCCTATTGGATAGCCCAGGATGAAAAATATGGGGACATAAGATCATTCCTAGGCAATAAGGTGAGAATTCAGTGAGCAACAAACCATCCAGACTAATCAGAAGACCTGAGATGTGTGGATCCCCCAGGGCTGGAGACCTGGGCTGCAATCTTGCTTTATTGAGCCTTTCCCCATGGATATGTTCAACTCCATTCCTGGATGATGATGTACACGTGCCTAAAACTCTTTTTTTTCTGAAATTTATGACTGGAGGAGGGTTTGTGCCCTGAGCTGGGGTGCCAAGGGGACAGCAAGGCTGATAGCTCTGATTTGGAGGCTGGGGCCATCCCAACAGCAGTGGTCTGTTTGCAGCCACTGCAGAAGCTGCCTGGGTGATGATTTTGGTCACAAGGGCTGGTTTACATCACTGATATTTGTCAGATCCATCACAAAAGGGATCTCCTGCACTGAGTTTTATGCAAACTCCCAGTCTACACCTAGAGGAGAGTTCCTGATTGCCAGTCTTGTTACAAATGGCACAGTTTGGGGTCCTTTCTATTGCCCGAGATCACTTGTGCAATTTCAAATCAATTGTGTTATTGAATCACAAAAAAAAAGCCCAACTCTAAAGTGGTTTGTGTTAGTGTGAGAGTAGATGTCAGAGAGGCAGAGAAGGGTGGGAGTAGGCTTCTTTTTTTTTCCAAGAGGTTATTTCTTTGATTTCAATAGGATAAGAGGAATAAAAACAGCTATTCCAAGAGAAGATCATTATGACTTCCCTAAAAATAAGGATGATCAAACATCTTAGAGGTGTTTTAAGAGATGCTTTTCCAAACATTGATGATCTATTACATGTGGTGAGGTTTTATTCTGTGAAAGAGGTCGTGTCAGAGTCTGTAGTCATAGAAAGTGTTTGTGTAATGTGGGGTGATGAATTTGGGTAGGGTAGAGCAGCTGGAGAAACCTTTGTACAGCCAAGTGATGGCACAATCAATCAAAGCTGGAAATTATGAAGTCATTATTGGGTGTGAGAGCTTCAAAGAGTGGAAAGCAACAGAAAGGGGCTGGGTTTTGTTTCCCTGTTAATAATTGTGCTTTATTGATGTCAGGGGCTATATCTCCCTCCCTTTCATAGATTCCTCATTCAGCCCTGTGGTGCCCAATCATCTTCTGAATGGGTTTCAGGGCCCACAAACCCATCAGCAAACCCTAAAAGCCAAGATGCTGAGGTCTCCAAAGCATCACTTCTCCCCCAGGCTGAGTTTCCAGGTTCATAATGGAATTTCCAAAGCATCCTTTGTGAAGATCAGCTCATGCATATTGCCTAAGATGGGTGAGCAAATTCGTGGGGGTTTTCCCTCACTCCTCTCCTTGAGTGTTGGCTTTTTTATGAAGTTGAAGCTCAAAGTGCTATTCCCAGGGCATGAAACTGCCAAGTGATTGCAGAGAAAGCCTCACCCACTGTGCTTCAGACTCTGAAAATGTCTCTGCTCTCCTGAAATGACATTTCTGAAGGAATTCATGTGGCTTTGTTGATGTGACTATATATTGCCTTTTGCTTTAGAAGAATAGATGCTCTACCTGGGAGCATTCACAACAGGAACAAAGGAGATAGATAGACACCTGCACTATAAACCATGGATGCTATCAAGCCATGTGATGAAAATTCACATTATTTTCCCTGGATAAGTTTTTTTTGCCAGCATATCACCCTTGCCTTTGTTATCAGAATGGCTTTGGGCTCTTGAGAGACCCTACAGAATTTGACCCAGTGAATGGACAGTATAAAAAAGGAGATAATTTGCCATACTGCAGTCACAAGAATTGATTAGACCACTTAATGAGTTTTTCTAGCTAAATTGAGACTTGACAGGAATTGGTAGCAATGAATAATCTCCCCTAATCTGGAACAAGCCAGTGCTTTGCATGTAGCACATCTCTTGCACTCACAGCACTCTGGACACTGCCCAGAGAGAGCTGAAAACAAAATATAAAGAAGATTTCTGCCCAATTTTTTCACAGAAGAAGTCCCATTCAGGTGACTTGGTTTTGTTTCTTTTGATGCCTCCTATTGCATCTCTCTCTCTGCTTCACATGGGAAACAACAAGGAAATAAAGGACAGGAAACAAGAGAAATGGCTGAAGAAAGAAGAAAGCCAATTGTAAGATGGAGTGACAAAAATCTAGCTTTCTATCTCATCCAGGTGTCAGAGAAGTCAAGCTGTGCCTCCCCCTTAGTCACCCAGCCTCCTATTTACAGGAGTTTATGCCACAAACTTGACTGTCCCTCAATGCAGCCTTGGAGTTTTATTCTTCTTACTTTACCCCAACAAGCACTTAGAGCAGCATCACAAGACCTGACACTTGGATGTAGCAAAAGTCTGGTAAAAACTGTTAAAAATCACATTTAAAATCATATCAAAGACAAACATCATGATGGTGCCCATGGATTTGGGCTAATGAACCCATCTGAAGGGCATAAAGGTAGAAGAAGCTGCTGGAAGTCCACCAGGGTGAATGGACCCTGTGGGTCCTCACTGACTTCAGCTCCCAGCAGCACTTCTAGTTTAGAATAAACTGCAGAGAGGGTAAGTGGTGACCCAAACAATGAAATTCACTTTGCAACTGGACAACAAGAGTTAAATTTAAGATTGACAGGTTGCTTTGGTGCTGTCTTAACTCTGGTCCTGCTTAAGCCAGAGCAAAGAGCTGTGTGAGAAGTTGAGGTCAAGGGATAATAAACCTTGTAGTAAGGTTGTAGTGAAGAGCATCTCCCCACGTTGCTCTTCCACAGCTTTCCCTCCAGTCCCCCATCAGACTGTTGGGTGCTCAAGTCTGGTGGGGATCTGGCACAGGGTGAACCTACCTGGTTCTCCTTCAGTGTTATCTGCCCCTGTTCCTTGCAGCCAATGAAGGTCCTGATACACCTGTAAATCTTCTCATCGTGTTGCACTCTTTGAACAAAGTTAGCAGGGAAAAATCCAGTTCTGTCATCAATTTTCCCCTGTGGGGGAAATATATGGATAGATTGTTAAGACTGGTGGCTCTAATCCAAATTCAGTGGTGAAAATAACTTCATTTTCCCTTTGGAAAGAAGACAGATTAAAAAATAATGAGCACATACCTTCCACCAGTCTTCATTGGAGTCTTCCAGAAGAGTGATCATATCTCCTGGCCTGGAATGGGGAGAGGAATAGGAGTTAAGATGACTTTTAATTGTTATGCTTCCAAAATCACCTAACATGAAGGTGGCCCTGGGTCATTTTATCTGCTCACTGCCTGCAGGTAGACTCAATGAAGCAGCAAGATTTTCTTCAGTCACACAGAAAGAGAGTTTCTGTGTAGTTGGTCTAGAGATTTATTTGGAGGGAATATCTGCGAGCTGAAAGAATTTTTGCTTCTTGTTTAACCAGAAACAGTTTCAAACACAATCCCTCTTTGTTACAGGCATTATCTCCTCACTTCAAGACATTTCACATTGTTGGGACACACCACTTGATCATCTGCAGTTTTCCAGCTGTGATTGCAGAAGGAAGGCAGCAGGAAAATAGTTCTATTTAACTAACAAAGGCCATTAGCCAGCAGGGAGAGAATTCTGCCCAAGAATGTCTTTGGGATTTGAATGGGAAGTATTTACCTTTATAAATGCCTGGTGCAGGGTTGTAATTGCTGAGGATCAACATCCAGCTGACTGCTTGCAAAGCAGAGCTAGGAGAGCAATTTGGCTGAAAAAGCTCCTAGGAAATCATTCCGTGCTGATTTTGTGCAGGTAGTTGAGCAGTTATTTGACCTCCTTCATTTGGTGGCACTTCATCAACGTTATTATGTAATTATAATAGCTCTAACATGGTGGAAAGTAAGTGACAACCCATTTCCAGCTGGATTAACCTCAGAAAGGTCTTTGTGCTTGACAACAGACCTTGCTTTGATTTTAATAAAATGAATGCTTGACCCCTAATTATTCAGCTTTCCTTGCATTCCTTGTTAGGCTCACCATTGAGGTATCAGCACAAGAGCTTTGCTGGAGCATCAAAGGTCCCATTTAAGAGGCTCTTTCAGAGCACCCATAGAAGATGTGGACCTGTTCAGGACACAGCTGGAAGTTGAGGAAGAAGTTGACCTCTTTGGTCCACTTTCTAGATGGTTAGTGTTGTTGCTGGCAACTGGAGAAACAGGCTTTAAACCTTAACTCAACACTGTGTGAGCTGAGCCAGAGCTTTCCAGCTTCCACAGAAAAGTGCTATCAATAGGGCAACAAGGTTGGATTGTCCTCAAACCCTCCTCTGGAAGCTGTTCCAATGTGTTTCGAATGGTTAAATGCTCCTGAGATGTGAAAGGAAGACAGAGAAAGAGGACAATTTGTATTCCCAGTGGATTTTTAGGATGTCTGAGTGCCTTATTCCAGTTTATTTTTCATATAAAACATTTAAAGAGGGTTTGAGGGAGCCCATCTTGCCACTCCAGAGTGAATAGACTGTAACACCATTGGAGTCCTTATGCTACAAGGAAAAAACACTTTCACCAAGAAGGATTTTGATGTCCAAACACCCTTCAGCCTGGTCGCTAGAAAAAATAAGTTAGAAAATATAAATTTATTTGGCTCTCAGGCAAAAATTGTGACTGAACCAGAGGTGTGTCTATGTCAATGGTCTGAGCACTGAGATTTTTAGATGCAAGACCTGGCCTGAAGTATTTTTCAGCACAGGAATAACACAGTTACCTCTAAACTCCAAAAAGGAGTCAATAAACAAGTCCCAGCTGGACCTGTGCTCCCCTTGCTGCTTAGATAAGGTTTCTAATCCCTGAAAGGAGGAAACCTGCATGATGTTGGATTGGTTGAAATCACTCTCAGGTCTCACCTTTTTCTTCTACTAATCACAACCCTGGATGAGTTGTTTGCTCTGCATCAGTGCTTTAGATGTCAATAGGTGGCAAGATAGGAGCTCATCAGTCCTGGAGTGACCAGGCAACCACTGATGATCATTTTAGGTCCCTTCAAACCTACTCTACTAACTCAACTCAACTCAACTCAACTCTACTCTACTCTACTCTTTCATTCCATTCCATTCCATTCCATTCCTTCAATTCCATTCCATTCTTTTAAACACTTTCTATTGTGTCCTTGCCAAAAAAAACCTGGTGTCCAGCTTTTTAGGAGAATATTCTTTGCATCTACAAATGGATACCTCTATAAAAAACGTTTAGTACAAAATTCAGAAGGAATCCTTCCTTCCCTAAAGTCATAGACAACCATAGGGCCCTCAGGTCACATCAACTAAGAAAACTAAGAAGCATTTTGGGACTTTACCTCATCTCCAAGTCTTCGTTTTCTTGTGGTACAAATTTGTACAAGGCAACGTAGGTGTTCATTTGTAACGTGCTTTTATAAAATGGTCCCTTTTAAGCAAAAAAAAGAAAAAGAAAATATAAATATCTGTCCTCTACAGGAGTTTGGTTCCCCTGATTAGAGACTGAGGGATCAGGGCTTGATCTTCCAAGAAATGAGCCAGAATCATCTCAATGCTTTCACACCTTGGGGGACTAGGACCCAGATATATTGTGACCACTAAGGCACTATCTTCATTTAGAAATAAGATTTTTGAAGCCTCACATCAATGTGTTGGGCTTCCCACAGAGAAGACTGGCTGGTGTCTCCCCTCATTTCCTCCAGTGATATTCTGGAGGAAAATAACTCACCTAAACTAAATTAAAAAAGAAATTTCTAAGTCAAAAAACCAACCACCACCCCTCCGTGGCTGAGATGTCATCTCAGGGACAATCAGATATCCATGCTTCTCCAGAGTAGTGCCCCAGCAGACCTACTCCAGGTCCTCAGCTATGCCTAAACCCAAAGGTTTCATAGGATGCCCCATTCCCATTGCATTCCCACCCAACATCTGCCCATACCGGGGAGTGTTGACTTTTTGGTTCTTCTCCAAAGTGTTCTGTGCCATTTTCAGAGTATGTAAACACTGAAATAAAGCAGAAATCGTGACATTTTAGGAGTAGTTTAAGACTCTCCACCTCAACAGGGTCATCTTGGCTTTGTTAATCTCTTCCCTTGCCCCCTTAGTTACTTTTGGTGCCTTGTGCTCTCCTCTGAACCCTTCTAGACCCCCAACAAAACCACGTACACCACTGGCACATGACACAAAACAAATGCCCTGAAGAATTTATGGTCATAACAAATAAACCATTTTGATCAGGTGAATGTATGCAAGTACAGCGTTGGGACTAGAACCTAGACCTCTAATTGGACCATTATTTAAAGCCCAGCAGCCTTTTCCTCACACACAACGCTGCATTTTCAGGGTTAGGAGGAGCAGTATTTCCATTTCAAAGCACCTGCAAAGCCTGATGACCCTATAGGAGAAATATGGTGGGAAATTTGTATGCAAAACCCCTTCTTTCCCCTCTTTGACCCTTTATCTCTAAACCTTTGTTAGCTTTCTTTGATGTCTCTCTCCAGCAGTCCCTGGGTGGGTGAGCACAGGAGATGCTGCCTCTCTGATTTCATAGAAATTACCTGAATTCCTTTCAAATTGGGATGGGTTATCTGAGCTATCCAGTGGTGTGGGAGCTGGATGGTATCTCTGTGCTTGCTTTGCTCACCAAACCTGGGTTTGCAGGGAGGACATCCCATAGTTGACTCGAGGGGGAAGATCTCAACTCCCTCTTGATAACAGCCTCATAGATGTCACTTAAAGCACATTTTTGCCTCGTGGGACTTCTGTTACAGATGGCAGTTCAGAGTGGTGAAGGAGTATAAGTGGCTTAGAGGAGGCTGAAGGGCTGGAAATTAGGTATAATATCTTCTAGTGGTGATCTAGGTAGCTTTGCTTCACAGGATGCATGCCAGGTCCTGAGCAAAAGAATCTTCTTCTTATAGGAGTGATTACACAGAATCACTCTGGTTGGAAAGGACCTCTGGGATCATCAAGTCCAACCTTCATCCCAACATCTCCCTAACCACCAGACCACAGCCTCAAGTGCTACATCTACTCATTTTTCAAACACCTCCAGGCGTGGTGACTCCACCACACGTGGCCACACAAGTGCTGTGTCCCTTCTGCAGGCTGTGGGGGTTTTTTTCTGCTGTTTCCCTTTAAGCAAAGAGTCTCAAATGTGCATTTTTCCTAAAATCTTCTTTGCAGAAGAGTTTTTAAGAGAAAAAAAAAAGAAGAAAAGAACTGGGATGGACCTGAGTCATCAAGGCATGAATGTGGAACTGCCTGCTAAAGAAGCAGTGGACAAGTGAGGAGAAAGGGCTGGTGAATCACCCTGTTACAGCATTTTGAATTTACTTTGTTAAATTTTTAATCTCTCTGGATATTACTAGGAGGCACTTAAAGCTGAAGACCACAGAGGTACATAGTTCATGTCTCCACACACCAGAAATCCATTTATTTTCATATTTCTTTGCCCCAGGAGCAACAGACAAAGAAAAAAAATATATAAAGCAGGGATTTTTACAGTCTGAAAAGGATTTTTTTTTTCCATAGCTTGTGCAAACAGTGCGGGCAGTTTATTAAAAACCTACCAAGGGGAAATTTTTGGAGTGACTGATGCATAATTTATACCCTGAGCCTCTGAAGGATGGATTGTAAAAAAGCCAGTGCTGATCAAAGGAATTGTTAATGTGCCGAGGAAGTTATTTGGAGGTTTGACACATGCTGAGTTTTTCAACTAATCTCTTTGCTTAAGTTCCTTGAATGCCTCTCGGTGCATTGGTTGAATACAGATCTCAGGGAAAAGGGGGGGGGGGGGAAAAAGTTTTTTTGGGGTTGCGAAA